TTAATACTGAATGGATTTTTATTTACATAAAATGAATTTTTCTACTGAAATTATTTTAATAATAATAAAATCATTATGTGATGATTTTATTTTTTCTCAAACAGTAAATTATATATTGCAAAATCAAAAAATTTTAAGTACTACAAAATTTTGTCTAAAAAATGTTATTGATAATTTACGGTTAATATCTAAACCTTATAAAATTAAATTTGAAAAATAGTTTTTTAAATGATTTTGTTGTTATTATAATTTTAATTTTGAAACAGATGAAATATTTTAAATAATAATTTAATAACTCATGTTACTGATGATTCTAAAATACATCAATTTTTTTACAAAAATTTATATAATATTATGGTAAATGATACCAAGAGTAATGATAATAATATCTTATTAAAAGAAAATTTACATTTTTGGAAATGTTTACTTTTAAATTTTTTAATTATAGATAATTTAGAATTTGGACTACATTTTAACAATTTAGAATTCTTAAAAAAACTAAATTGGTTTAATTTGTTTTGTATTTTAAAAAGAATTGAACTATTATATACAGAATTGAACTATTCAAAAGAACAGTATTATGAAAATTATAAAATATTTAAGATAAATATTATAAGTAAATATGGAAATATATTTTCTAATAGTTGGTTCATAGAAATATATGAAAAATTTTAATTTATTCAGTTTTTAAACTGAATAAATTTTTATTTATATAATTTTTGAAATGTCAAAAACATTCACTATTAAATTAGTTAATGATTTAGATTCATTGTATTGATTTAAAGATAATAGTTATGATATTATTATTACAGTTGATATAGGATTAAATAAGCAACAGATCTTTGCATATTTAAATATTTTACATGCTAGATTAACTTATTTTCAAAATGCTTTATCTGAAAATTGGGCTAAAAAAGAAAATCAATTTTTTGTCTTATCACAACCTTATATTAGTGCATTAATATTTAATATTATTCTTAAATATCTATATTGTAGAATTATCGAATTAAATGATCTAGATATTGATATGATTTTGAAACTCTTAGTTGCTGTTGATGAGTTATCAATTAA